CACACACACACACACACACACACACACACACACACACACACACACACACACACACACACACACACACGCACGCATGAACACGTACCTGGACCAGCTTTCCCGTCGTTTCGCGCGTGTATTCGAAGGGCTTCCAGACGACGAAGCTATTGTCAAAGATGACTCTGTCAGGTGTGTACGTCTTCAGATGAATTTTGTCACCGTCCTGTTTCACATCCATGTGGATCTTCTCACTCAGAATCTTAGCAATCATGGCGTCATTGAGACCTGCGGTGATGGATGACTAGAATGAGGGGCTGGTTCTCTTTCTAGAATAGAAGTTCTCTAAATATTTAGAATGGTTCTCTTTCTAGAATAGAAGTTCTCTAAATATTTAGAACGATTCTCTTTCACATGGTATGAGAGCGAGAGAAGTGAGAAAAGAAAGGGAGAAGAAAGCAGACGAGAGAAAGCAGACGAGAGAGAGAGAGAGAGAGAGAGAGAGAGCAGGCGATACACGAATGAGGGAGGAAATGGACTAATAATTAATTATTTATCGATTCGCTCTTGGCTCTCACACTGCCACATGCAGTTGAGGAAAGAGAAGGCGGGGTGAGAAGAAACAGAGGAGAGAAAAAGGAGCGAGCCGGGCAAGAGAGAAAGAAAGACGGAGGCCGGCGAGACGGGAGAGAGAGAGAGAGTGAGAATAAAAGCCACAGAGAGGATGAGAGAAAGCGAGAGAGAAACCAAGAGAGAGAAAGGGCCACGGATAATAGTGAGATGGAGGGTGCGAAGATAATGAGAGAGAGAGGAGAGAGAGATAGAGTGAGAGATCAGAGGAGAGAGAGAGAGAGAGAGAGAGAGAGAGAGAGAGTGTGTGTGAGAGAGAGAGAGACGGAGAAAGGAAGTCTGCCTTAATTATAATACTACACACCTCGCGCGTTCTTCAAGTATTCCCTGAATCCCTCCTGCGTGTCAGCAACATACGACCCGCTGTAGTCCCTCATCGTGTTCGGTTTCCTTCGATCCTTCCTTCCTTCAACCGATACTTCTTTCCTTCTATACGCGCGTAGATACGTCAACAGCGATGGCAACTCTGATCGACAATTCTCCCCAGATAGCCAGGTTCTTTTATAGCTGCTGCTGGGTTACACGCGTAGCTGCAAGATAGAGATATAGATATACGTCACCCTAGATCGCCGTCTAAGTGTAGGTCATCTAGCATTGACCCGGTTGCTGTGTCGACTGAAGGAGCGGAGCTAACGGGAGAGATCGAGAGTCCATTAGAGTGTAGCAAACAGTCAGCGTTTTACGTCAGCACTCGCGCATACCCACATGTTCGTAACGCGAAACATTGATGGGTGGATAAATAGCGGGCAGTGATTAGACATGGCATGGCTTTTATAGTGAGCGTGTGGGGAAGGGGGGAATTATGTCGTCTGCGTGTGGACGGACTACCGTTGAGGGAATGATGTGTGTGTGTGTGTGTGTGTGTGTGTGTGTGTGTGTGTGTGTGTGTGTGTGTGTGTGTGTGTGTGTGTGTGTGTGTGT